TAATATTAATTTTTTATTCTTTTCACCCCAAATAAGTCAACCAAGGCAATAACACACAACGGGTTACTTAATATTAAAGAATATGAAAAAAATGTTATTAAGGCGAGAGAACAATAAAAGAACAAGAATTAAGAATACAGAAGATAACCATTGACATTGCATTTAAATTTTTAAACATTAAGAAGCCGGATAGCGGAAAATTGCGCTAGAAGAAATTCTTAGCATAGAATTTACGGTTACAGGTGGGTCTAAAGGAGATGGAAATATTGGTGATGGCGGTGAATTTGACGGAGATGGAAGTGATGATGGCGGAAGTGTATTAAACGGAGATGAGAGTATTGAAAAATCGTGGCGATGGATTTAACAGAGGGGGCAGTGCTGTGATAGATTCGATGGAGATGGAATTAATGATTATGGTGGTGTATTTAACCAAGATGAGAGTATTGATGGAAGATCTGAATTAGAGTTGGAAGTGATGATGCTGAAGATGGATCTGTTGGAGTTGGAGGGGGGATGAATTACATGAAGGGAATATTGATAGGGATGGAATTTATGATGGTGGACGTAGATTCGCTAGAGATAGAGGTGATATTGGTGGAGGTGGATTTAATGTAGACGGTAGCATTGACGGTGAAGGTGGATTCGATGACGATGAAATTGATGATAACGGGGGTGGATTCGATGGAGATTAAAGTGATGATGGTGGAGGTGGATTTGATGAAGATGAAATTTATGATAATGGCTGTCATGTATTTCATATATATGAAAATGATGTCCTCTGTGATGGCAATGGGAGTATTGATGGTAATAATGGTGACTGAGGTTTTGCAGAAAGTGATGTCACTCTGAAAAAATCAGAGATGTTTATGATGATTTAATAGGGTATTTGTGTGTGATAGAGAGTATGAGGGAGACAGAGGGAGATAGAGAGAGATATTATGGGGGTGGTGATGATGGACAATGCGAATATAATAGATACCATTGTGGCTATTACCGTACTAGAAATATTTATCGTTATCTTTGAGGTCGAAGGGACTTCCGTGACTATCAGGGTGATGGATGTGATGGAAATGAATGCAATGGTGGTGGTGGTGGTGGTTGTTGTGGTGATGTATATGATGGAGGGGCAATTAATGTTGGTAGTGGTGGGTATAATGGACGTTTAAGGGATGATGGAAATGGTAAATGAGCTGTAGTTAGATCTAGCAATGAAATTCTATTCGGGTGTGTTGCATTCACTTACGCGCACATACCATTGACAAAGGCGTGAATCCATCTCTTCTTCTCCCACCTATGGGCTGATTAGCAGGACAGAATGAATTCTATAGGCTTTTTTGGCAGCACGAAGAAATGGCAGAAAGAAATGGCAAAATATCTTGGGGAAATGTTCTGCCTAGTCAGTCATGGATCGAAAGAGACATGATCACTCAATTGGGTATCACGCGATTGCACTTAAGTGATTGATTGATTATAAGCTGATACTCACCCAATATATAACTCATAAAAGTTCCCCCTGAAAACTGTACTTCAATAGGCACTTTTATATCTACATACACACTATGCCCAATATTGTGAACTTAAACCCACAAATATAGTATAACTTAAAGCTATATTTTTATCATATATATATATATATATATATATATATATATATATATATATATATATATATAATAAAATATGTGGTGCAGTTCAATTTATATTACATGAATCATTCCTACAAAAACAGATTAGTGGAAGTCAATAAATATAAATGGCGAGAATACATCTTTGCAAACAAATTTATTAAAATTACATTAACCCACAAACCTCTAGATGATCCCTGTTTTTAATAAATTCAACTTGTATAAGGTCTTTTTTGTATGAATGATTCATGTAATATATATATATATATATATACTGTCGAACTTAGACCATTTCTTTTATATATATATATATATATATATATATATATTATGAAAGTCCGACAGTTATTTTAACATATTTTTTGCTTATACATTATTTTTATAGATATACATATTTAGTAAATGCTCTGTTTATAATAAAAAGTATTAATTACATTTTACCGGCCTGGATGTCCGAGCAATTTCAAAGGAAATATATAACATATATCATCCGGTAGGAATCGAACCAGTATCCTACCCGGATCCATCATATAGCCCGACATGCAATACCATTTATATACAGAAGATGCGTTTGGTTAGGAAGAGAAATCAGGGGAAATTTGTAGTTTAAAAACAATAATTTGACTTGACTAACCAGGCGGATTCCTCTGTAGCTAAATGTTATAGCACGTCAGGATATATAGCACTTCCGTGTAGGATACAGGCTCGATTATTGTCGGAGGACTCTTATTTTCTTTGAGATATTTCAGACATTCCGGTCCGTAAATGTTGTTAACACCGTTTATTATAAACAGAGCATTTACTTTTTTTTTTTATAACGATATCTATAACGATAATATATATATATATATATATATATATATATATATATATATATATATATATATATATATATATATATATATATATATATATAAAAAGGACGAAGAGTAAGATTTCAGCGTTCAAAACATTAATTTAAAACCAAATTCAATAGAAAAGTAAAGCCGTAAATATTTATTTATTATGCAGTATTATATTAGGATATATATATATATATATATATATATATATATAGAGAGAGAGAGAGAGAGAGAGAGAGAGAGTGGTGCACGGTGGAGTAATGGATAGCGACTTAGATTGAGGAATCGAATTCCAGTCGAATCCAGTTACATTCCCTTACGTGCTAACACCCTTGGGAAAGGTATGAATCCTCTTCCTCTCCCTCCAGCTATGGGTAAAATAGCAGAACAGACTGGGTTCTATAGCCTTGGATGGCAACTTGTCTAGGAGAAGGACAACTCTTAATCCAAAACCTGCGCAGGTTCGTTTGGGGTTTTGTGGCACGTAGTGCACCAGGTCTCTGTATTCGGCCCTTCACCACTATAATCAAATCTCATGTGCCGGTGTCGGGCTGTCGGTTTCCTAGAAACTGATATGCTTGACCGTCATACGTCGAATTCGACAGGAGTCGAATCGAATACATATATATATATATATATATATATATATATATATATATATATATTATGCAGTGTTACATTAGGTCATACACATACCCACTACAAAACTGTACATCTTGTTTCAACGTTAAAAAAACTTTTTTTTCATCAAGTGGGGGAATCAATATGCGACTCGAATCTTGTTTCCCCACCTGATGAATCGTTAAAAAGGGTTTTTAGACGTTGAAAAAAGGGACGTTTGATAATAAAGTAAGGAAAAGTTTAAATGGACAGTGAGAGTGAAGTTAAAAATGAAAGAAAAAAGTGTAACAGTAGTAAAGGGAGAAAGAAAGGTACTTAATGCAAAGGGAAAGTTTTTTAGACGTTGTACAGTTTTGTAGTGAGTACGTGCATGTCCTAATGTAACACGGCATCATACTTATTATAAAACCCAAGTTGTGTGTGTGTGTGTGTGTGTACGTTTATATATTGGATCGGATTTCCTAAATTTTTCAACCAATTTCAACAAAACTGGACTACGTAAAATTACCTTGCGGTTGTGCTGACAGCGCCAAAAATTGGAAAAACACAATTGTTTTTGCACGAAATCAATTTGAAAACACGATTAAGTCGCCAGAATGAAAGGGGGACAACTCATATCGAGTTATACTTATTATAAAACCCAGGTTGTTTGTTTGTGTGTGTTCGTTTATATATGGGATCGGATTTCCTACATTTTTCAACCGATTTTAACAAAACTTCACTTTTTTTTGGCAGGTAGTGTTTCTTATTGTCTTGCACACTTTTTTCTTTATTTTTACATTCAGAATGCTTTACAAATTCCGTTTACAAGACACTTGTTTATAATAAAATTCTATTCAATCGGTAGACTCATAACGATTGAAAACAATGTTTTTGTTTGAGTTTGGGTTTGACCAATTCGTAAAAAAAACAAAAATTAAGACATGCGTGTCCGTCAACCTTAAACAATAATCTTTGTCAATTTTATTTTTCAGTCTTTATGATGGTCGGTACTTGATCTATCTCTTACTGCTTCATCCCCGGGCAACTCCGTGCTCTACTGCTTGTAACACACACACACACACACACACACACACACACACACACACACACACACACACACACACACACACACACACACACACACATATATATATATATATATATATATGCAAACACACAAGAGTTGAGTATTTAATGTAATCTGAGAGCAGAGTTAGAATCACACTCAGATTAGGTGAATTCCCTTATGCACAAATACCCTTGTAAAAGGTATGAATTCATCTCTACTCTCTAGCTATGGGTTAAATAGCAAGGCAGACTATAGCCCTGGTTGGCAGCTCCTCTACCGTAGTAAGAAATGGTAAACTACCGCGGGAAAATTTTCTCCCTAGTCTGTCATGAATCGAAAGAGACATGTTCTCCCAAGCGTGTATAATGTATGGCGCTTCACTAACAGACTTATTGGAGGTGGTGGATAAGCTGACGTTAGCCGTAGTGGCGATAGATACACTGGTGATGTCGGTTTGAGTGGATCTGGTGGTTATGGTGTTGAGGGTTGTGGATGGTGTTTCGCGACGGTAGTGGCGTCGAGGGTCATTGCACTCATGCATGAACTATTTCTTTGTGGGGACGGGTTCGAGGTAAGCTAGACTGGTATGAGTCTACATTTATCGACAGAAATGGCGCCCCCGTCGATGACTGACACAGTTTATTACGCCTGCTAGCGACACCCGAGCGCTTCTTAAATCAAAGGCATGCCAGCGAGTAGATAATTAAGTAGGCTATCGCATTACTTATTATCAGGAGGAGAGCCGCCTGCCCTGGGTCACGTGATGTGTGTTTCCCGCCTTATAATACGGCCATAATAGCCGTCATAAATCCAGCTGGTCAGCCATTTTGCAAGTGGTATTTGGAAGGATGAAAAGAAAAATTAGATAAAATACGGAAGGAGAGAAGGAAAACAAGCGGGAGAGGAAAAGGAGGTGGAAAAGAATATAGGAAGAGTAGAAGTTAAGAGCAAAAGAAAGAAAAAGAATTCGGAGAGTGATGAACGGGATATAAGTGAGTGAGACGTTTTATTCCTGAAGGATGGAAGAAGACATTTCGAATAATGCGAAGGTATTTAAAAAAAGAGTAGTAAAAGGAGAAAGAAAGGTACTTACTGCAAAGGGAAAAAAGAGCAAGGAACGTTTGATAATAAAGTAAGGAAAAACTTAAATGATAGTGAGAGCGAAGTTAAAAATGGAAGAAAAAAAGAGTAACAGTAGTAAATGGAGAAAGAAAGGTACTTAATGGAAAGGAAAAAAAGAGCAAGGATCGTTTGATAATGAAGTAAGGAAAAGCTTAAATGATAGTGAGAGTGAAGTTAAAAATGGAAGAAAAAATAACGGTAGTAAATGGAGAAAGAAAGGTACTTAATGGAAAGGAAAAAAAGAGCAAGGATCGTTTGATAATAAAGTAAGGAAAAGCTTAAAAGGATAGTGAGAGTGAAGTTAAAAATAGAACAAATTACCTGATGAGAAAAAAAAAAAGAGATAACAGATTAAACAGAAGAGGCGGAAAGACAAAGAAGATGGATGACGTCGTGTGGATAAAAGAGGAAGAAAAAAAGAGGAAATAAAGACAGTTTGATTGTTTTTTTACGAAATATTCGAACATTTATAGGTTATTTAAAAAAAAAAAAATATCTTTTGAACTATAAGAATTTGTGGGCAACTGCTTATTTTATTCACAAATCTTTGAAAATAACAAATGGCATATTATTTACAGATAGATTCATACCTTTCCTCAAGTTATTTTCCACGTAAATGAATATAACGAACTCGTTTGGAATTCGAATCTCCGGTTTCTTACACCGAGCTTCTACCTGATACGCCACCCGCACAAGAACGTTAAATAGATAAGAATTTTTCCGGTGAATAAAGCAACGGAAATATATGAATCCGATTCTTCTGCCCCCAGATATGGATAAATAATTGAACAGACTACGTTCTATAGCCTAGAGGGGCAACCTATCTAAGAGAAGGAAAACTCCAATTTCAAAAGGGCATTTAACTCTGGCAAAGCACATACTATTCAGTTATTGAAAGGATCATTTGACTCGAAGATCTAGACAACTCCTTTTAAGGCATAAAACTTTTTTGGAGATTGATTTTTAAGATACAAGTTCTACTATTTAACCCATAAATGGAGAAGAATGTATAGATTCATAACTTTTCAAGGGGTGAATAGACCGAATAATGGACTAGTGGATTAAAGCATTGGTCCGTGAATGTAGTACCATTGTGGTTGCGAGTTCAATCCCTGGGTCGGGCAGTGTGTACTTGGATTCAGTAAAAAAGAGTGAACAATAACAGTGGGTACTAAAAAAAAATGATATGATATCCTTAGACATCGACTTTCAATATACACCTGCGGAAGGCCGGAGGATAGAACGGTCGAAACGTTGTGATTGATAACAACAAGAAAGATGAGGACAACATTCCGATAGAAATAACGTAAATAATGATGACTTCTCATTCCAGGAATTCAGATAGGAACTCGACTGGAATTCGAACCTGTTCCTTTAATTTCTCACACCGATATGTTATCCATTATAGCAACCGCACACCCACCCGAGATAAAAGAGAAGATATAAAAGAAAATAAGATTTAAGAAAGAGGAGAAAAACAGAAGACTAAGAACTTGGGAGGGGAGGTGGCGATATGGTAGCGGACCTCGAACTAACATTAGTCACGATTAATGGATGTCCCCTTGGGGAGGCCCCGTGCTTTGGGTAGCTACTGTGCCTTAAACTCACCCCAGACTTGAAGAGTTGCATATACGATCCATCACTAAAGATACATGACAAATGGTCGGTAATCTCTACCGTTCCAATAAGTCCCTGACTTCTCGTGCTAACCTCTAACTAGAATGTAACTAGGCCAAAATATAGTACTACTGTCAGATTTGGACAAGGGCTGCCCTGTCCTCACTTTACAGTCTCGATAGAGTTCTAAAGCGTCTCTGCGTCCTTGGGGGGTGACTATTTTCCACCCTGCAACTTCTCTCTCACAAAGCGGATGTGACAAGCCGCTTACTACTCTATAGCTATTTCCATGGAAAGTTCGCGGATGAACTCCATTCCTTGATTCCGCCGGTTCTAAACTTCTTCACGGATAGGTCTCGCCATGCAACTCATATTGTGGCAAACGAACCATATCAACTCCGTATTCCAGTGTCTAGAAGTATGTTCCACTTGAGCAGCTTCTTCCTACGAGCTATTGCTCTGTGGAACCGACTCCCAAGAAGATGTTTCCCAGATCACTATAGTCTTAATCTGTTCAAGTCTAGGGTTAACCGTTATCTTCCCCAGTTATTCGCATAAATTCTACCTCTTACACTGTAACCAGCTACCTCGTGTGGTCACTAGGTCTTGTACAGGCTGAACCTCATTGTAAAAAAAAAAATATATTATTTCCAAGATGGAGGACACTGCGTATAAAATAAAAAGAAAAGACAGAAACAAAAAAAGAAGGAAAATAAATAAGAAACAAAAACATGAGACAAAGAAATTGAGATGACAGGCTGTGTTTTTAAGCGTCAAAAGATTAGGGGAAATTTATTTTTATTTTTATATAAAAATAAAATTAAGACACTTGCATTAATTATTTTCTAATAAAATAAATTGACATATAAAAATAATTCAATTAAATACACTTGCTTTTAAGTATTTTTTAATAAAATAAATTGACATAAAAATAGTTCAATTAAACAGACTTGCTTTTAATTATTTTTTAATAAATAAATTAACATATAAAAAGTCAATTAAACACACTGGTTTTAATTATTTGTTAATAAATTAAATTGAAATAAAAATAGTTCAATTAAACACATTTGTTTTTAATTATTTTTTGATAAAGTAAATTAACATATAAAAATAATTCAATTAGACACACTTGCTTTTAATTATTTTTAATAAAGTAAATTAACATATAAAAATCAATTAAACACACTTGCTTTTAATTATTTCTTAATAAAATAAGTTGTCATGAAAATAATTTAATTAAACACACTTGCTTTTAATCATTTTTAATAAATTAAATTGACATATGAAAATAATTCAATTAAACATATTTGCCTTTAATTATTTTTAATAAATTAGATTGATATATAAAAAATAATTCAATTAAACACACTTGCTTTTAATTATTTTTTAATAAAATAATTTGACATAAAATATTCAATTAAACACACTTACTTTTAATTATTTTTTAATAAAATAAATTGACATAAAAATGTTCAATTAAATACACATACTTTTAATTATTTTTTAATAAAATAAATTGACATAAATATGGTTCAATTAAACACACTTGCTTTTAATTATTTTTTAATTAAGTAAATTAACATATAAAAAATCATCTCAACACACTTGCTTTTAATTATTTCTTAATAAGTTGGCATGAAAATAATTTAATTAAACACACTTGCTTTTAATTATTTTTAATAAATTAAATTGACATATAAAAATAATTCAATTAAACACACTTGAAAATAAATTAGATTGATATATAAAAAAACAATTCAATTAAACACACTTGCTTTTAATTATTTTTTAATAAAATAAATTGACATAAAAATAGTTCAATTAAACACACTTGCTTTTAATTATTTTTTAATAAAGTAAATTGACATAAAAAAATAATTCAATTAAGGCACTTACTTTAATTATTTTCTAATAAAATAAATTGATACAAAATTAATTCAATTAAATACATTTCCATTTAAGTATTTTTTTAATAAAATAAATTGACATAAAAATAGTTCAATTAAACACACTTGCTTTTAATTATTTTTTTTTAACAAATAAAAAAATAAAATTCAACACAGTTGCTTTTAATTATTTTTTTAATAAATTTTTAAAAAATGCAAAACAAAATGAAGCAGGTTTTAATTTGAATTATTTTTAATAAAGTAAATCGTAATGTAATTTATTTTTTAATAAAGTAAATCGAAATTTTATCCCAATTTCCTTCATCAAAATAACTTTCTTTACGATTTACTTTATTAGAAATAATTACAAAATTCCGGTTCATATTTTAGATATTGCCTTTTCAAATATTTCATCTGAAGAAAAATATTCACTAATTAATGTTTTAATCCTTAATAAATTATTTTTTCCGTTAAAAAAAAAAAAGTTATGTTTTCCTGGTGTTGTGTTGTCTCGGTTCTGTGTTGTCCCGGCGCTCAGTCGGCGGTGTTGAGTTGTCTTTTCCCGTGCTAATACGGCTGTGGTTGGTGACCCGCACAACCCTAATGTGTTGCGGGATTCGTGCTGATGAGAGTAAAAACGTGAGACGGAAGAACATAAATAAGTAAGAGTAGTTGACAAAAAGGAAGGAGGAAAAGTACGGGTGGGAGGGAAGAAAATAGAGAAAGATGCCATGGGGAGAGAGAGAGAGAGAGAGAAGGAGAGAGAAAGAGAGGGAGATGGACGATGAGCCGAGTTGAATTACTATGCTGAAACAGAAAAAGGGGGAAGAAATAGAATGAGAGGATGCAAGGAGTAGAGATCGAGAAAAGAAAACGAAGGACGTCGCATTTTATTAGATCTGGGAGTACAAAACGTAGGTAGCAAAGGAGAGTGTGAAGAAGGGACTAAGCACAAACTACAAGAAGACAGAATGCATGGTCATCAGTAAAAGGATGAGCCCGAAATACGATTTGCAGATCACAGACACTAAAATCAAGCAGCAACGGAAGTGTAAATATCTGGGAAGTGTTTGGGCCGTTAAATGCGACACTGAGATCCGTAGACATATTGGAATGGCGAAAGACGCATTCTAAAAGCCAGGTAGAGTATTACGAGACAGGAGAGTTACGTTGGTAACAAAGAAAAGCGTGCTGAACTGCTACGTGATACCTGTCCCTCTTTCCGGTAGCGAATGTTGAACGGTCTCCTCAAAGATGAAGAACGAACTCGAGACAACGGAGGTATGGTTCTACAGAAGGATGTTAAGGATACCATGGACCGAGCGTGTGAGCAACTGTGAGGGTTTTGGAGAGGATGCAAACAAGGAGGAAACTTATACTTAACATCAGGAAGAGGCAGCTGAAATTTCTGGGACACGTAATGAGAAAAGGGATTCGAGGAAACGGAGGTATGGTTCTACAGAAGGATGCTAAGAATATCATGGATCGAACTAGTGAAAAACGATGAGCTTTTGGAGAAGATGCAAACAAGGAGGAAGCTTATGCTTAATATCAGGAAGAGGCAGCTGAAATTTTTGTGACACGTAATGAGAAAGGAGGGCTTGGAGAATCTGATACTCACAGAGCGGATAGAGGGAAAGAGAGACAAAGAAAAGCAACGCGTGACACACAAGACAAGAAGGGGGAAGAAATAGGATGGGAGGATGAAAAAGAGAATAGATCGAGAAAGAAAACGAAGGACGTCGCATTTTATTAGATCTGCGAGTACAAAATGTAGGTAGCAAAGGAGAGTGTGAAGAAGGGACTAAGCACAAACTACAAGAATACAGAATGCATGGTCATCAGTTAAAGGATAAGCCCGAAATACGATTTGCAGGTCGGGAACACTAAAATCAAGCAGGAACGGAAGTTTAAATATCTGGGAAGTGTTTTGACAGAGGACGGTAAGTGCGACACTGAGATCTGTAGACATATTGGGATGGCCAAGGACGCATTCCAAAAGCCGGACAGAGTATTTGGAGACAGGAGGATTTCTTTGGTAACAAAAAAATATACTGAGCTGTCACGTGACATCTGTCCTCCTTTACGACAGAGAATGTTGGATGGTCTCCTCTAAGATGAAGAGGACTATAGGCAGCGAAGATGTCGTTCTACAGGGGGATGCTAAGGATATCATGATCCAAGCGTGTGTGCAACGATGAGGTTTTGAGGAGGGTGAAAACAAGGAAAAAGCTTATAATTAGCATCAAGAAGAGGAACCTCGGTATAGAATGTCAATTTAAGAGCCCTGTATAGTGAGGTAAGGAGGAAAAATAGGGCTCTTCCGGCACAAAATCTTTCCAGTTTTTTTTCCGTCCAGTTGACTCCAGCTGGACAATCCTGGGGTTGGGAAAGGCTTTGTTAGCAGCATTCAAATCTTCACACACCTTAAGCTTACCACCACCATTTCGTATAAGCGTAAGCACGTTGGGTGTTTCCGGGAAGTTCTTTGGTTCTACGGAAGTAAACTTAAATAATAGCTTCAAGAGAGTTTTCCTATGGGAGGAAAGGTCCCTCTCAAAAGTCAGTCTGTCAACCATTACAGATAGTTTCCCCCTCCCTTTAAGAAAGATCTTTTTTGGGTGAAGAGAGTTGATGGAGGGAGATTATCAACATCCTCCGTCCTCTGCACAACAGCGTGTTGGGGATGTCGAGGAAACTGTTCCTGTTCTGGTTTCCCCGGGGACCAAATCTCCAGTAGCCACGCCTGCTTTACCCAGAACACGAACAACACACCCGGCTTGACCAAAATTCGCAGAATAGGCAACCACTGAGTAGTGATTTGCTGGGAAGTCTTGGCTATTGTTATCGTTGCTTCACCACAGCACGCAAACACAAAAATGGTCAAGACAAAGATTACACAGGCCACAAAAATGTAGTAGAAAGAGAACACAAGTGTTGTAGAGTCGTTTCACAGTGGAGGCTTGTATTTGTACTAAGTCGGCCCTAAAATAGGTTCGACGTACAAAACGTTAGGAACTTGATATAATAGGTAATGACGCAGAGAAATCTAGTTGTGGTCGCTGATACTTTAGTATCCGACTAACGGTCGTCCGGCATCGACTGACTGAGTGACGGTATTTAGTCACCCCCCCTACGAGGGCGTCATGTGGCACAAGGCCGGTTTAACGTGAGATCTCCGAGCCTGTGGGCTCGGCCAAAAATATGCCCATTGAACCCGTATAAACGGGTTCAGGGCCGCTTTACTTCCCCGAAAGAGAATCCGCCCTTCGGTGTAGCCTCTTTCGGGTTCCTCCCCGCCCGAAGGCAGGGAGTTCAACCAATCAGCCAGTCGACTGACTGACCAACTCCCGAGAGATTCCTACTACTCCTACTTATTATAGGTGGGAGAGTCTATTAACTATAGAATAGGGGTGTTCCGCTATAACAACAAGCAAAGCCAAAAAACTTACAACTTTTCGTCATATTAATCTCACAAAAATAGACACTCAAAAAACAACCCTGCCAGGAAAAACACTTTCCTCTCTCCTTTTATAGGCACACAAATGCATGATGGGATTTTGTTCTTAGTCAATAAAATAGGCCGGTTTGCAGTTTCATCTTACACAGTCTCGATCTGCCGTTTCAGGTGGATTGGGTAGTCTAGTTGAAAACTCTTACTTCGGGGAGAGAGAGGAACCTAGACGAGTCTATATCGAAGGGCAGAATCGCATCTGGGGAGGTAGACAAGGCTGACATCGTGTATGCGGGGTCTACGGGGAATTTTTGCCCGAGCCTACGGGCCCGGATTCGTCCCATATAAAGCAAACGGCCTTGTGCCACATCCTGCCTTGTGGTGGGTGCTAAGGTAAATAACATCAGTTCCGGTCTGCCGTCTCCGGTGGTTCAGGCTGACTCGTCGAACTCTTTGCCCTCGGGCAGAGAAGAACCTCGATGAGGCTTTACCGAAGGGCAGAGTCGCGTCTGGGTTATGTAGACAAGCCTGACACCGTGTATGCGGTGTCTACTGGGATTTTTTGCCCAGGCTATACGGGCTCGGATTCGCCCCACATAAAAAAAACGCCCTTGTGCCACATCCTGCCTTGTAGAGGGGTGCTAAGTTAAATAACCTCAGTTCCGATCTGCCGTCTCAGGTGATTCAGGCTGACTTGTCGAACTCTTTGCTTTCGGGCAGACAAAAACGTAGACGAGGCTTTACCAAAGGACAGAGTCGCGTCTGGGCTATGTAGACAGGCCGGCCACCATGTATGCGGGGTCTACGCGGAATTTTACTCAGGTCATACGGGCCCGGATCGCCCCACATAAAAAACGTCCTTGTGCCACATCCTGTCTTGTAGAGTCGCGTCTGGGTTATGTAGACAGGCCTGACACCGTGTATACGTTGTCTACGGGGAATTTTTGCCTAAGCCTAAAGGGTTGGGAATCTCCCTACATAAAAAAACGATCTGTGCCACGTCCTACCTTGTGAGGAGGCGAGGTAAATAATCTCAGTAGCGATGTGCCTTGTCTTGAAGTCAGAACACTAGGTTCGCTTGTCCGATCTTGCTTTTGTATGTCTACGCCAATTCGTAGTTTGTGAACTTTTTACCATATAACTGTTGTCTTGCATATGTTATTTTCTTGCTTTATATTCTTTTGTTTCTCTTGTTCTTGCTTATTGCAAACTTTGTCAATTCTGTTTGTTTGAAAGTTCTGTTCCTTACTTTGTATTTGGCCATAGCTACTCACTCCACAATTTGCTTTATGCATTAAATGGTCTTAATTGATATTAAGTTATTAACCTCCGCCAATATTATTTCATGTTATTCGTCGCTATTAGTATCTAGGTTTACTTATGGCAATTCTCCAGATTTTCCAGTCATTACGAGAAAAGAAAACTTACAATACTTTTAGTACAACCTACCGCCTACAATCATCTCCGTGATAAAATCACGTTCGTTTCTTGTCGAGACTATCTGCGACCTGAGCTGGCCCCACCATATCAGCATCTCTTTTCATAGAATCGGAAAGGTGTTAGCAACATGGTGAAGACCAGCTATATTTATTTGGATATCATTAGGGCTTGGATAATAACGTTGAAATAAAAACAGCCATTTGACTCATCATAAACTATAGCAATATTCCCCGCATCCCAACTGCCCCAATTAACAACCATTATAATCCAGAGTCATCCTTAGAAGTGTATTTACTTGCCCCCCACCCACTGAGTCAGGTTGTGACACAAGGTCAGTTTTTAACATGAGGACCCGAATGTTTTCACTCGGGCCGCTGGTCCAAGCTGGTCTTAGCTGGTCATAGCTTGTCCAAGCTGGTCAGAGCTGGTCTAAGCTAGTCATAGCCGTGATACCACCAGCCCAGGGACGAGCCCTGTGCCAGGTAAGTATCCTTAGAAGTAGCAGCGGCAGACCCCAGAAAAACATAATCCCGCTGCGTCAACGTCATAAAAATCTAACAATACCCTCTACAGTTTGACCATCTCAGTTCAAAATCGTTTTTGTCAGAGATTTTAACATTTTTTTTTTCCTTCCATTTATCAAGCAAGGCGATAATGCCACTAAAACGCAATTGAAAAAGAATGAGAAGACTTTAGCGAGGAGAAATGACACAAAGAGAACAGTTAACGATTACAGTTAATTCTCCTTGTCGACTCTCTACCTCTGGGCGGAGAGGAACCCAGACGAGTCAATGCCGAAGGGCATACTCTTGTCTGGGGTGGTAGATAGCTACCCGATTTGTAGTTTGTGAACTTTTTACCATATAACTGTTGTCTAGCATATATTGTTTTCCTGTTTCATATTCTTTTGTTTTATCTTGTTCTTGCTTATTGCAAACTTTGTCAATTCTGTTTGTTTGACAGTTCTGTTCCTTATTTTGCAGGTATCATATACAAAAAAAAATTATATAAAAATTGCCCGTAGACTTACGAAGTCTACGGGCAATTTTTGCCGAGCTAACGGGCTCGGAAAACCCCACGTAAAAAAAAAAACGGCCTTGTGCCACATCCCGCCTTGTGGAGAGGTATCGGGTAAGTACAGAAAGGACAATAAAAGAACAGACTTTAGGAAAGATCACGATTGGCGTTGCATTTATAGTTTTGAAGAAGGTAGAAATATTATCGATGTATTGACATTATTAATCTATGAACAATATAAAAGGAAAATTTCTAATTATTGCACCCATAAGCAAAACGATAATGCCTCTCGGATGCAGGGGGGTTACAGATGTTGTATACCTTCCTCCCTTCTGGGGAGGTCTTTTGGTTGACGGCCTTGGGGCGATCATAATAAAGTTATCTTACTCTCTTTCTTTTCTCAGCCGGGTGATCGCTAGTTGGTTGGTTCGGAGGTAAAATGAGAACTTCAATGAAAGGGATTTTTAACTTATCTATGTGTACATTTTAACTAGCAAGTGGGGTCTCTCTATGTTGCGGAGTAATTTCGCAGTGGAATCTTGTATTTGTACTAAATCGGTCCTAAAATAGGTTCGACGTACAAAACGTTGATATAATAGGTATTATGCAGAGTAATCTTGTTGTGGTCGCTGATACTTTCGTATTCGACTAACTGTCGTCCGACATCGACTAGTATTTAGTCACCCCCCCACGAGGGTATCATGTGGCACAAGGCCGGTTTAGCATGGGATCTCCGAGCCCGTGGTCTCGGCCAAAAATATACCCTTTGAACCTGTATAAACGGGTTCAGGGTCGGTTTACCTCCCCGAATGAGACTCCGCCTCTCGGCTCAGCCTC